TAATTTTAATATTAAATTTTATCATATAAATTTATAATTATTAGTTAGTAAAAATTATTTTTAATATTACACGTATTTAAAGATCTAAATAGCTATAATAGCAGGATTTTGTTGTCAAGCTTTTGAATCTTTCTGTACTTCGTTTTTGATTGGTTATTCTAGCTTTTGTAACAATGTCCCCCTAGTGTAGGATCGTTAATTCATCTGAAACTTTTAAAACCATTTATTTTCTTTTCAACACCATCACTTGATAAGACACAGAGTGTGTTGAAACAAAATGGCTATTTTGTAGTGATTTTATAACATACTTATGTTATAAATTTTTTTATAAAATAATTATATATATATATATATATATATATATATATATATATGCATCAGCATTTAAATCGACGTTTAACTCGACAAAATGACTCAAATGAAATAAAACCTGCCAGTGCACATGAAATAAAATAAGTTCATTTATACAGCTTCTAAATACAGTATTGTATATATATATATATATATATATATATATATATATATATATATATATATATATATATATATATATATATATATATTGTAAGCAGACTCCTTTTTATCAGTTCAATATTTATACTATTAGACAAGTTAGCCAATTAAGTATTTATATATTCGTATATTTAGATAACACACAGTTACAATTAAACGCCTGACGTGATTAGGAGAAGGATTAAACCACTTTATTATATTTTTCCAACAAGTTACGGTAATCTTTCCCCCAAGAAAAGAAACGGAATCTGAGGGCGGAGAGTCATGAATTCCTATGTCATGATGGGATTTCTTCCCTTGGTACTATGCGTGATGCACACTTGTGCGATCATGTTTCTTTTTAGATTCTTCATTGACTTGGCCGAAGAAAAAAATGGTCAGCTAAGATAACTGCATATGTATTCGTAATCGGAGTCGGTGCGAAATTATGACGTTTTACGCTGATGCTAGAAAAAAGCTGATGTTTCACATGCTGATTTTCAAAGCAACTAGATTATCTCCACTTAGAAGAATGGTGAAACACAATCTTCCGTGTCCTATCTTCTCTAAATCACATTTGTGCTGTGATAATTAATTTTAGTGAGTTATCTGCAGCATCTTCCAAATTATTTAATTTAAATGTTACGTCAACTATTGCGTATACACCTACAATTTCTCTCTCTCTTTCACACACACACACACACACACACACACACACACACACACACACACACACACACACACACACACACACACACACACACACACACACACACACACACACACACACACACACACAGAGGCATCTTCAGGTTAAAAGAAATGCATTCTGATTGGACCATGAAATAATTATTTCCTGCCACAGAAAAATAATATTTGCTATCTATTATTATGTAGCAAAGAAAGATAGCTGGCAGAAGGAACAGAGATTTGTACTCAATAATAATAGAAATCTATGGCTGAAATGATTAAGGCGATATTAATGAAAAGTGAGTTCTCGAAACTTCATCGCAAGTTCTATCTTATTTTAGATTTCCCTTTATTTGTTCTTGTTCTAAAAAGCTTACACTTTTTTATTATACAAATATCAACAACAAGAAAGAATAAAATTACAAATAAGGGTTCTTTCAAGACGAGGTGTTCATTGGCTATCCAAGAAGTCCTTATCTTTTGCTGCTCTAAGTAATTCTTGCTCTTCTAGCTCGCCTCTCGTCTTTTTTGCTACTCAAACTTAATTCGTTTACTCGTTCTTTCCTCTGCATGATATCAATGTGTCCTGTGAGTGTTAAAATCTCCAAATTTTCTTTTCTCATTATTTTAAATTTAAAATTTATGTTGGTTCTTTCTGATTTGCTAATAGCAATTGACTTGTAGTTCCTATTTTTTGTAACACTTTTTCTCATTTCTCAGATATTATCACCATTTGCAAATAGAATCAGATATATCTTTTACTCCATGTTGTTTCTTCGTCTCTCATTGAATTTTCCAGCATTTACTGTATATAGTGGATTAGATATCACAGAACATACCAGTATTTTGTTTTGTTTGTTTCTAAGGACATTTTCTGACTACTTTGTACTTTGCTCAGTTTCTGAAAGGCATTTTCACTATTTCTATACAGCTTCGATTTCTGTGTCTTGTTTCTGTCCTTCACTTCTACTTCCCATATAGTTAAATTTCTTTATCTGCTTACTTTTGTGACACCCACAGGTGGTCGCAGCGCCAATATGTGACGTCCTCTGGTCGCAGCGCCAATATGTAACACTGCGCCGTCGGCCCGTGGTCAACTCCCTGTTGCGGTGCGAAGCTGCAAGGTTTCATCCACCAGCGTTTTGGGGTTGACTCTTTGTCGCTGCCACCAGCCTGTGTCCCGGTCGATCTGGTCGTTCCCGGTTCGATACCAGCTTTGTCGTTCCCAGCTCACTTCCAACGTCTGGTTACCCAAGTAACTACTTTGATCTCAAGTCTAACCTACCCACGTTGTGACTTTGATCTTAGGTAGACGAAATCAATTAGGCGTCGGGCCGTACTGCAAGCTGAATCCGGGGTGAAGGTGATATCGCACAAGCGTAAGTAAAAGAAGCAATAAAACAAACTCAAGAGGTTAAAATATGTTGAAAAATAACAAATTATCTTCCCAGCCCGTTTCTATGGATTTGTGACACTTTTGCGTTTCATAAGCTTTTGGTAGGAAGTCGAATTCGAAAAGGACGTGGAAACGTCGCGGTCAGCTTCTGCGAGGCAACGGTCTGACTGCAACTGCGAATCAACTGCTGGAACCCTGAACTACTGCGTAACTAAGAAACTGCTCGGGGACGTTCGTTTATATGGACACCGACCAAAACCCGGTGTGGGGCCTGACGTGGCTTTGGTTCCCGATAATTCTCGATTCCCAGCAAGAATTCTCTTTGTTTTTAGGCCAGGAAAATTAATTACTTCCCATTTTTGGAAGATTAATCACTTTCCATTTCGGGGGTTTCTCCATCGTCCGTGAGGGAAGGTCGGAGGAGAGTTATTCTCCTAGACTCTTCCTCTCTCACATATCTCATACCAATCCTCTCAGTGGGTGTTAACAACTTCCCCGTCTTTCTCATACATTCACCTCCGCCTATCACCCATGTTACCACTTGACCGATGATCTCTCGGCAGTGTGTGTGTGGCTAGACTGGCCCTCTTAAAATTATTATCCAAAATTTTGTTTACAAAATCCTTTTTTCCTTTTTTTTTTCCTTCGGCCAAAACATTTTTTTACAAACCCCAGATTGCCAAATAACTCTTATCACATCTTTCTTTTGGGGACACCCAAAATTCACTTAGTTGGGTATCTCTACCGATTCATCAATCACTGTCAAAACCCGGCACCTGGTTTCTTCTGCTAAGTCAACTTTTAGCTAGGAGGTCCGTATTTTACCTGAGAATCAAAATCTTTATTTTTCTCATGCCTTAAAATCCTCTTATCACCAAATTCCCATTTTCGACGACGCTGTGTCTGACGCCAACAGTTTGAATAAGCAATAATAATACGATTTTCTTCCTCATGCCAGAATTCTAACACACATCAGATGGTTCCCTTCGTTGGACCCGTGAATTAGAATTAGATGATATCTCTGAAAGATAACTAATATCGATTCTCTCTGCCTGTACCGCGGTGGTCTCAAGCCGAATTTTTTTTTATGGCCGCCATGTGTCGGTTGACTTTGTTTTTCTTTCTGAATTCTGTTTCCCTTGGCGCGTCACTTCTTTATTAATCAGTCTTGACAGAATCTCATATCTCGCTTTTCCTTACAGATCTGTCTCGTGCGAAAAGTATCTTTCTTCGTAAATAAAATAAAATCTTCTTTTTAATGTCGCTCAGTCTATCTTTCGATATAGCTCTTTCTCGCCTTAAGTCTTTCCTGTTTTTAATTTCTATGGTTAATTAGTTAGCCAATTACCATAGCTAAATAATGTCACATTTTTTACATGCCTGATATGTAACTCGCATTTTAGGTTGTCTCTTTTACTTACAATCGTGCATTCTTCCTTCTTACAATTTATGGTTAGTCCCTTCTTATTGTTTTAATCGACAACCTTGTCTAATAATTCTTTCGGCTTTCTTTTGAATTTACCATCGACATAGTGTTATTTGCGCTGTAGGAGTTCGCATTCGTTTGCGCTTGGTTTCTTTAGCAGTGTTAGGAAGATTGATCTGTTGGAGTTTTCAAGTATTTCGTCGATGTCATATATTTCATTCATAACTTCAGTAACCTTATACATCTCCGAATTGCCTGAGACTGCCAGCTTATCTATTGCAGTCTCATTTGTTTCCGTTGCTTGATTCCTCTTTATCTTGGCCAGTGTTGACCTAAACACATATTTTAATATTGCAAGTTCTTCCTTTAATGCGTTTTAAGTTTCTCTCCCCTGTTCTCATGAAAGTGCTCTCCTATATATCTATTCAATTTTGGAGTACCTTTTCTTTTACTATTATAATTTTATACATCTTGCTTAAGAGAACCTCTTCACTCCTGTAATTTATTTGATCTTTTTATGAAATGACAGTGAAGATAACTGATGATCTAAAACGTTACTGACTACTATTTATTTGCCAGAAATGTTGGTATGGCCACTTCAACCACTGCTTCTCGTATCGGAAACATGTTGGCACCGTTCAGTAATACTTTGGTAAGTTTGCTTGTTAAATGTTTTAATTTTAAGTACGACATAAATTTTCATAGATAGAGTCTTGCATATTCAATTTCTCTTACTCTCTCTTCCCATTGTCACAAAACAGTGACAAAAAGAGAAAAAGGAATCTTTAAATCAAGAAATAAGTATAAATTTCCGGAAGGAGAAGTAATCGAGATTGTAACTGTTGCAATACCATTTCTTTCTTGTGTCTTATCCATTACTTGCTCATATCCTGTTCATTGGGTTACCTCAAATCTATAACCTTTGCATAAACAAATATGAAAACTATTTTTGCTAAAATTATGTTTTATAATTGTTGTTTACAATATATATATATATATATATATATATATATATATATATATGTATGTATGTATTAAATAATATAGACAAGTTGTGTCTATTTATTTTAAGTAAGTTCCTTTCATATTGTAACAGAGAGAGAGACCCCCCACCAGGTGGGTTTATTAATCAACGGTGCTAAAGGATTGGGAAGAAGGGATTCCGGAGTAATTCCAGAAATAAGTTTTTCTTTTTACTTAGTTGTTTCTGAGTTTGAATTATTAATTAACGAGGTGAATTAATTCCAGAGTAATTAATGGACGGGTTCGTTAGGTAAAACTTGTGATAAATGGTGAATTGGATTTTGGGTGGTCTGCCGGGCGAAATCCAGCCAGAGCCCTCAGACGAGATAAGTGCTTTTCGCCGGGCTTAAGTGGACGTTGTCTGCGGAAAACCCAGCAGGGAGTCCGAATCCGATTTTAGTACCTCTTGAAAACTGGGTTCCCGCGGAGCTTCGGAGATCCGGCGGAAAATACATGGTGGTCCAGGCGATTTACATATTAAAATTCGTGGGCGGTGCCTAAAAACTGTTTAGCCCCGCCTCTATATAAGCGGCCTGCACGCTTGGGTTGAGCAGATGAGATCGGAGATCAGATCGGATAGGATCGGAGAACGCGTCGGAACGCGAGAGAAGCGGCAGACGCGGCAGAGAGACAGAGAGAGAGACAGAGAGAGAGAGAGAGATCGCAGATCAGAGGCCGCGGATCAGAGATCACAGATTAGAGAACGCGAAGGAAAACGCGGAGGAAACGGCTTAGTGGGACTTGCTGATCTGGCCAGTTGGTTGCATGCGTCAAAAACTCCGAATCGTACCCAGAGATAGAAATCGAACCCGTGCGAATCCTGATAACTTCGTCAACAAAGCTATATCGGAGAGGGCGGACGAAGAACCAAAACTGAAAACGAGAAGTATTAAGCATGCCTATAATCGATAACTAAAGCCATTGGTTTATACCAAAAGCTTCCCATACTTAATACTTCTCGTTTTCACTCTCGCGTAGTCATGTGTGACGTCACGAGCTGCGATGCGATTTTCGCTTCTTCGTCTCGTATACACGAGTTTGTCGTTGCTTTGAATTTTTTCTTGCAACAAAAAAGGACTATCATTATTGTTTCGTCCGTGTATTGTTTGATATGTTGAAATGTAATTTCCATCTTTGATAATGCCTTATGTAAGCCAAAAGCTTAGATCGGATTTAAACATGTATCAATATGGTGATTTCCTTTCATCTTTCAATGATAATGTTATTAAGCTTATCAGACAATATGAAAGGAACTTACTTAAAATAAATAGACACAACTTGTCTATATTATTTAATGAAACATGCATCATTGAAAAATTGCTGCCCAAACACACACACAATATATATATATATATATATATATATATATATATATATATATTACAATGAATCATTCATACAAAAAGTAAATTAGTGAAGTTAATGATATAAAATGGCAAAATCCCTTCGCTAACTAAATTTTAAAGACGCATTAACCTACTCGTTGTTTTTTGTTTTTTTTAACTGTATTAGGTCGTCCTTGAATACGCTAGTACTTTCGACTGTACGTACAGTCTCATCATCAGGCATGGAAATTATTTTGTTTTTGTTAAAATTCAGGTAGAATCCGAGACGAAAAAATATAATTCGAATCGAAATATGTTTATTTTTAAATGTGTTATTGATAAACGGATACAAATTCGTGGCGCGTACAGCCGCAACGCTAAGGGTGAATTTTTTGAAAATTTAAGTGAGTACGTTTTTTACTAATATGGCAATTAGAGATTTTTTTTTTACTAACTACTCTACTTATTGAACTATTTAGTTCATGCCACGTTGACTGATAAACTCCTAGAAAAAAAAATTCTCAAATTGCCATAATAGCAATTAATGGCTAAAGATAAACTGTTTTATAATAACTGTAAATATATATTTAACTGAATATTTTAAATTTAAACTAGAACAACAAGAATAATAAAAAAATAAAATTGACCCGTTAACCGGACTAAACATGACTGCCGGTGGTGTGTTTCACAACTCTTTCGTAAATTATTCAGTTGCGTATATTGAACAAAACCAAGTTGTTATTAGAGCTCAGGTAAAAAAAAATTATAATTTTGTACGCTTGCTTTTCAGTAACTACTTAGAATCTTCCTAGCTTTTATTTCCCTCCATTTCGTATGATACTTCACTAAATCGAACTTACTATCTATAATTAGACAAGAGCTAAAATACAGTTAAGAAAATATGCATTTTATTTCTGAACCTTTCCGTGAAAGTTTAATTGAATAAAATATTATTTCAGATGAATTAAATCTATGTCTATTAATTACTAATTACAGTGGCTTTCATTGATAAGAAAATAAGAAAAATAAGGAGAAAAGAATTCTTAACCTGTCTGTGCATTTCCTCAGTAGTATTGATAGTAGTATTGATTGTAGTAGTACAAGTAGATTGTAGTAGATAGTAGTATTGATAGTAGTATTGATAGTAGCATTTCCTCAGTAGTATTGATATTTTAATAATAGTGATAATAATGTTGGTAATAATAATAATAAAGCTTAGTAGGACAGTATTTGCAAATAATTATAATATAAATGAAATAAATAGGAAGTATATTGACATCGAGTAGAGAACTGATCAATGCGGCATTTAAGCGATTTAAAAATAATGCATGATTGTTGAATAGTTAGAATACCTGAGCTGTATCCAAGAAAATTACAGTCTAATTCTTGTCGCTGAGCTGGTGATGCACGGGAATTAAAATTTACTAACTTTAGAAAGAGCCTATCATGATAGCCAAACATATTTTAAAATAGATTTTCCTATCTTCAATTAAATTATTTGTAAAGACGTTCTGACACCACACCACACATTATTTCGGAGTGCCGAATATATTGGTAGAATTAATCGAAAATTAGTAACAACGTATCAGCTAAGATTAGTATGAAAATATGAAAATTTGTATACGATTATTAATACTTCCTGTTCTGCAATTGCTGAACACCTAATAAATACTTCAATGAGTTACTTGTCAGCAGAGCATTCAGATTAGCATCTGAGAGTGCTTGAGAGCCTGGAAATTAAGTTTAACCAACCTTCACTCTGTAGGCAGAAGGAATGGTTGCTGGGTCTTAATGTTACCTGTATGGAATTTATATTGTTGATTTTCTGGTAGTGTTTTCCCTTCCCCACTTTTTAGCCGGTGTGCCAATATGTATATCTTTTAACAGATACAGAGGTGGAGAGGGAGGTGGAGGAAATGCCTCCCCCTGCCCGTGCTCCATCCCCCTCTCCCTCCACTTCTTCCCTTGCTTTAGTCACCACTCGCCCACATGCGTCCGCTTCTTTCCCAACCCACCTGGCAAAGCAGAAAAAGGTGAAGAAGGGAAAATACTTCACTGGCCCAGAAGCTATTTGTAAGGTCGAGAAGAACGACTTAGATAAGGGGCTATCGAAACAAAGGAGGGCCTTATTGGGGATTCTAATTAAAAAGATCACTGTAGACGGCAAGTCCGTTGAGGATCCCCGCAATTTCCCCGATGCCCCCGGGGTCATTACATGTGAGGGACACGAGGACTTACTCAGGGTTTGGATCCATCTATATGAAGCAAAAGATGCCTTCTTGAACATAAGGATGTTCGAGTTAGACACTCCATATTTGAGGAAGACATTTCTGTGCTGGGAGTGTCCCTGTCATGCTCCATCCCTCCTTATATAGGGCGATTAAATTAACGTCCTCCATGGACGTCAGTGGAATTGTCATGGAAGGACGAATGACGTCAGAGCTAGGTGTAGGGAGCCTAGGACAATCCGTCGGGGTCCTTACTGACGCAGATTTCCGGCCCGTATATTAGTAGGTTTTCCTTTTCTTACTCTTATTTTTTGCAGGCCTAATCGATGTTTATCAAGTTAGCCAGTCGGAATGCGAAGGGCTTGATGGATCGGGCTAAGGCTCCGGGATCTCTTGTCTTTCAGCGTGGATGTCACCGCGATCGAAGAGACCCACTTTGTTTGCAGCCTCGATGTGTGTGCGCTGTCTAGCGTCTTTGTCGTTTTTCAGCATATGGGGACCGGCATGCCAAAGGAGTTTCTTTGCTGCCGAGGCGTACTCTTGATCCGAAGTTGAACCTTGTGCATACCGATGCCAAGAGCCGGTTAATCGTGGCCGAGAGCAGCGAGACTTGTTTTTTTCGGTGGTTGCGGCCATTCTTGATGGATTCAACGCGCCTAGTCTTAATGGGGGTCTGGAATGCCATCCTGGACTCTAAGTTAGATAGGGAGCGGGGAGCTAGCGGGAGAAGGGGCGATCGTAGCCTGGTTGATCTGATCGAAGAGTTTGGTCTCGTCGATAGATACCGGGTCGATCTTAATTGGCCTTTTACCGGGTGGTTAGCTACCTGGATAAAATATTAGTCCGAGGGGCCGACGTAGACTTATTAGACTGTCCCACGTCCCACTGGCTAGGCTATTCGGACCACAAACTCGTTTTTGCCCGGATGGCGTTAGATCGTAGGCCTAGAATGGCTGGTTACTGGAAGTTCAATCTGTCCTTTCTGAACAGACGGAACTTCCAGGAGCATCTAACTAGCTTAGTGCAGCTAGTTGGGGCGGTTATCGGGAATAGGTGGTGGGAGAGTCTTAAGGATAGGATTAGGTCTTTCACCACTGATTTCAGCAAACGCATCGCCCTATATAGAGCTGAAAAGGTGAAGACGCTTAAGGCTAGTTTTTCCCGTGAGGTGGTTGGGGGGGGGTATCCCCTAGAGATAGTCTTAGCTAGGGAGGCCCTGGAGCGTTTGACTAGCGAGAGCTACATGGGCCAGGTAATTAGACATAGGTTAAGCAAGATGTCTTCCGAAGCGGTGAATATGGGCGCAGAATTATGCAAGAAAGAGATCCGTCGAGGCTCCGATCGGCACCTACGTGAAGTCAAAACCCTGGAAGGGTACACTCCTCGAGCCACTGACGACATGTGCAACCTGCATCTGATCCGCACGATCATAGAGGGTGTAAAAGACGACGATGAGGCCGCGCTGATCAATTTAGATAAGTCCAAGGCATTTGAAAAGGTTGACCATCGTAACCTTGCTGCTGTCCTGCAGGCCGCCGACTACTGCCGCTGGATTAGCCACCTGTATTGCTCCCCCAGTGCAAGTGAACGGGAAGCTGTCGGGCGCTTTTGTGCTATCTAGGTCGGTTAGTCAGGGTTGTCCACTGTCGCCCGTACTTTATGCTTTGGCATTGGAGCCTCTCCATCACCGGCTGAGGGACAGGGGGTGCAGTCCGACCCTACGTGAAATCGCCGTTCTATTTTTCTCAGTTGCATTCCTCGGTGCAGTGACCTTTCACGACCTAGCAAGGTCTTCTAGTGTTATTTAGTGGAGGGGGCGCGAAGGATCCTCTATATGAGCAGCTCGACTTGGAGGAGGAGTTTCGCTCTTTCTGGTCTTGGGCGCTAGCAGCGGATTATCTCAGTAACTCTGAGTTTTCGCTTACCTGGCGATTCGCTCGGAATCGGCTGCCTCTCAATGACAAGGCCTTCATATGGGGCTTGGCGGATTTGCCAGACTGTGAACGGTGTGACCTTGGTTTAGAAGAAACGTCTTCGCACGCCTTCTGCCATTGTCCCCGGGTCCGCCCCTTATGGCACCATTTCGGCGAGTTGACGGCTCGTCTTGCTCCCGAAAAGCTCGTGCTCATGGATCACGCATACGCGTGTGACACTGTGTCGCCCCCGTATTCTGGGGTGAAACGAATGGTGTTTCTGACGCTGCTGGCCACGGCCCGAATGGTGATTTGGACGACGCGAATTAAGGCAGTCGTCTTTCTCATCAGGATCTGGTCTGATTCTTTGAGTATCAGCTCAAGATGAAGATTAGAACTGATAGAAAACGCTTGCATTCGACAGTCTTCAGCGAAAGGTGAGTGAAGGAGGCAAGCTTGATTAGTTTGAACGGGGCTAGCCTTGATTTTCTCTTTTAGGTCAACCTATGTCACATCGGGGTGGTTTCCTTTGGAGCCCTCCCCTTGGTTAGGTTAGACAAGCTTCAGTGTACCTAGTTAATGTGAGTAAGTGTTGTTCCTGGCCTGTTCCCGGCTTCATCTTTGGTTATGATCCAAGTCGAGATTCCCAACCTCCCCAGTTTGTTTTGGCCCACTTTTTTCATCTTGTCTGGGTCAGCTTTTATATTTACCATGTCCGTATATATTTTTTCCTTTCCCACTCCCTTGGACGTGCCCTACTAACATCAGTTATGTTTAGTTTGTTTTGTGTTGATATTTAGTTTGTTATTGGGTTCATCTCCCACCCATTTCATTCTTCATCATTAGATTTTTATATATAATAATTTATCATCATTAAATTTTTATGGTGTAGGTGCGTTTTGTAGCAAGGCCTTGAGAGGATGTGGTATTATGGTGTATGGAGGATTGATTTGTGATAGACGAGAATGGTGAATGCGGAAATTATAATGAGTGAATGGGTCGTGAGTCGGATTAGCTAGGTATAAGATAGTGTCAACCAGCCTCAACCCCTCCCCTTTTTAGGCCTTGTGCCATTATTGTGTAATTTCACACAATAAATCTCAATATGTATATCTTTTTGTTCTTGATTGAGCTCTGAAGCGTGGGGGGGGGCTATAACCGGTCACCCTTTTGGTTTTATTTTCTGTTTATATTTTTCGATTTTCTTCTTTACCCTTTGTTCATATTTGTAGGTATTACGTGAATATGTACTTTTTAGATGTCTGTTTTAACTATCATACTATATTTAATCTCTTATTTAGTAACTATCATTTAATATATTTTAACGCTTGAAATTGCGTAGCTGCATATAGAACTATTTATATTTTACAAAGTTGTTTCTATTTTTCTCAGGTGAGACCACAAATGGGAAATTTTTCGAACTCATGACAATCCAGTTTGCATTTTTTTGTGTTTGCATTATTTGGTTTTTATATATTTTTTTGTTTCTCAGGCGCGATATGTACCATGGTGTCCTGGAGTCATCTTTGGCGGTTTCTGTTTAATGTGTAATGTTTTTATTACCTTACTGCCGGAGACAGCCCACCGGCAATTGCCCCAAACCACGGAAGATGTTGAAGAATGGCGAAGGGAGAGTCGAGAAAAGAAAAAGAGTAAAAAAACTAGAAGTACTAAAATCTCAGATAAAAACTTACAAGAGGAAAGCATTCAGGAGTTGTAACATTATTGATAAAAAGAGTCACATCGTCTATCGATGCTACTGTCCTTCTAATAAAGAGTTAAAAATAACTATATATGACTTGTATCATCCAATGCGATTCATTTGGAAATAAACAATGAGTTTTGATTTGTTTTTAGCGAATATTTTTTCCTCTACCGTGTTTTGTTTTTTATACACATATTTCTGTTTCGAATATTTCCTGGTCAAAAATAAATTCGTTCTTACCAAACACAATAGTAAAAAATCACGACTTTTTGGCAGAAAACCATCAATGTCGTGTTTTTACATAACATTTTATTTCAGATCAGTGCCAATAGCGTTGAGATTAATTTTATTACAGATAATTTAAGAATCAATTTTTAAGTATAATTTTTGAATTGACCCTTAACTTAAGGAAAATCGTCGGAGCAATTTTCCAGTAAAATTATTGAACTGTTTTAATATTAACTGAAAATTTATACTGACTAATTTTGCATGTTGCGAATGACGACTAGTTTTTAATAAGTACTTTTCTGTTATGTCTTCTTTAGGTCTTGGAATAATTAAATATTTCTGTTTAGATGGTGAACAAGCGACCATGCATTTTTTTGAGATCACACGTATTATAGTTGTGCGTTTAAGTGTCCCAAACCTCACTTGTTAGTAGGTGTAGTGAATGAGCAGATCATTTCACACTAAATCTACATTTTTATTGGTGTACCACTCTTTCTGGGTCTGAATCGGCTTTATGTGTATATTTACATATACTTGTAACTCACCCTAACCTATACTTCATGTACATTTGTATATCTATAAGGAATAAGGACCTTAGTAAATTGCCATAAATCTTTTTAGCTACTGAGTTGAAGTGATTCAGGGGTGGCGTTATGGTCTCGCCCTTCTTACAGAAACTTTGATACGAAGGAAAGATGGAGGAGGGCAGCGCTTTTTTAAATTACCAGAATTCAGTTAGTTAATAGCGGTTTACTACTTTGATTTCCATGAAATCATGGACCATAACTGTTTAATAGATAACAATGTCCAGAGATACTTCGTCTGTCATCTGAATTTGCCCAATCTGAATCACAAAATACAATTAAATTTAAGTCCATTGAAGACTTTTAAATTTGTAGCTCTAATAATATATCCTAATATACCCTAATATATTTTAACATGTTATATTTAATATATCTTAATGTATTTTAAAACAAAATTGCTTAAATTTAATTTAAATGCGCATTAGTAGGTTTTGTAAATTATTGAAATAAACTAGTATGGCGAGATTAAAAGGCGCATGAAATATTTGACCAATTCAATAAATCAAATTTTTAATGACGATCGAAATAAACTTCAATTAGTAAATGTTTTTCTTTTTTACTGGTTGGATAATTTTATTTTCATATCCCACTATACTCTCTAAAAATGGAGATTTCCCAACGATTAGCATTATCAGACTGCAACAGAAATACATCATAAAACATTTCAATGTTTTGTTAGGCAAAATCCATCGCATATTCAATATATCCATTAAAATACTTACTATTTATGTAAGATGTTCAAATTTATCCACCTTCGAAATGGTATAAAAATGCTATTAATTTTAACAATTATTGAACCTTGTTTTCTCTATAACGATGACTGAAGAAGTTATTGCTCTATTTCCTTTTAATATCATATATATATATATATATATATATTATATATATATATATAAACTGGAGGTACAAAATTTATATATAGTTTTAAAAACAAGGAATGCATTGATTTTAATTTTAAAAGTCTCTAGGGCCCTTTCAGCCAACATCTCATCAGGAGACAATCGTTGGATTAGCGAAAAGAATATTAACGATAATGAAGAGCAAAAAGAGGGGGAAAACACTAAAATAACGAACAAGTATATATACTTGTAACGAGGGGAGGGGAAATAATCGTGTAAATAAATTAGCGAGGGACAGTTAAAATAAAATATCCCCCAACAGATTAAGAGACTTTACAAATTCTTTCTGCCGGCAGAGAGAAGGTTTCCTTAATCCTATGCAGACCGATTCCAAAATCTTCAAATGATTGTTGGAATCGGCTGTATGAATAATTTTAAACCACTCTTTTTTAAACAACTTGGCGCAGGCTATATTCTCAACTAAATGTTGAGCAATAGCCGATTCCATATTCATGGGGGGAAGATAGCATATTCTATCTATCTTACCAAGTCGTATTTTGGAAGGTACGTGCTGATTGATTCTAGTTTCCAAATGCAAGGTTGTACGCCCCACATAACCAGCAGCACACTGGCAATTAAATTCATATACTAAATTACTCAATTTGATGTAGGGCAATACATCCTTGCGAAAAGACGGAAACACAGACCTAGTTCGAAAAATGCTACGTAAAGCAACTGATGGGAAACAACCGGAAACCGACTTGCTAACCTTCTTAATTAAGCCCTGACCCCTATCCCCAATCCAGGGAATCTTCAAATAAACCGGACATTTAGAAGGCCCCTGGATTTTAGGGGAATGAAATTCCTTAGTCTTCTTACTAATAATATAGTCAATAAGGGCCTCCGGATAGCCGATGCTAAGGAAAATCTCCCTAATGTTCTCAAATTCACGGTCCAATCTAATAGGAGAACAAATTTTAAGCGCTCTATACACCAAGGTTTTAACAAGATTGATTTTCCTTGATGCAGGAGCAAATGAACGCCAATTCAAATAAAGACAGGTAAAGGTGGGTTTACGATAGATGCTAGTAATAAAACCACCTCTACTGCGTTCAACAAAAACGTCCAAAAAGGGCAGACAGTTGTCCTTCTCCCCTTCCATAGTGAAAGACAAACCATTGTGTAAGGAGTTGAGCTCATTAAAGAACTCAAGAGCCTCACTTTCGTTAGAGAAAGTTGCAAAAGTGTCATCGACATATCTAACGTAAACAAACGGTTTAGACACTTTGCCGAAAAGTAACATCTCATGGTAGCCCACAAAAATATCAGCCAATGCAGGGCCAAGGGGACTGCCCATCTGGACCCCATCCACTTGACTATACATAGTATTGTCAAAACTGAACTCCACCGAACTGATATATAATATCATAAGTTCTATAAATATATCCTTAGGAAAAGGAGGTGGAGCAATGTTACCTTCGTATAAAAAGTCTGCACAGATATCAATAGTTTCCCTCAATGGTACGTTGGTAAACAGACTGGACACATCAAAAGAACACATAAAAACACATAGGCGTTCAAAAATGAAGTATCAGGGCAATGTTTAGCAAAAATGGCTTGTTTCCCCTTTTTTGCTCTTCATTATCGTTAATATTCTTTTTGCTAATCCAACGATTGTCTCCTGATGAGATGTTGGCTGAAAGGGCCCTAGAGACTTTTAAAATTAAAATCAATGCATTCCTTGTTTTTAAAACTATATATATATATATATATATATATATATATATATATATATATATATATATATATATATATATATAAAGTGTTATACTAAAAAGAAAATAGACAAATAGCTTCTTCAGAGTCGTATAGCATAAAACCTAAAATTACTTTCTCAGTTAAATGACATTAGTTCCAGTAAAATGATAAATAATTTATGTAATTTTTTAAAAAATTCTATAATTCTACATTTTCTACCAAAATAATTATTCACTAAATTTTATAAATTAGGATAAATTTGGAAATAAAATGTAGCAGATTTCTTATAATTTTGCATGTGGGATATAAAAGCATAAAAAGCAGAATACTGCGGATCTTGATGTAATTACGCAAACCTTTCTTCAAAACCAAATTCTGAGCAACTTTTCCAGGATAATTTATTGACTCTGTTTTGAAAATTGAATCGCCGACTTTCCAGTGACAATTTCAATTTTAAAAATTTATTTAATCGGAGATAACTCATTTATTCATGTTATCTCCGTTGAATTGAGATTATTTTACAATTATGATAAAGTTTGAAAGCGAAACGATGAATGCTGTTAGGATGATGCATGACACGAGCTTACTATGATGAACAGGAAACTAGTTATGCTCTCCGTTCTATAGTTTAATGCGCTTCATAGGTTTTCTGACCTGCTTTCAATACTGGGGTGTGTTTTTTTTTTTTTAGATGCAACAAAGTCTTTCAATTAAACAACAAAATAAAATGAAAACTAAATATCGTATTTATTTTGAATTGCACATTTCCAGTTTTTTGTGAAATATTGTATTTTAAATAATAGTAGGCCCTATCAGTTGTCAATATTTTTTTATGTGCCATGTCTCTTCAGGACGTAGGTGATCATGGCCCTCCACATCTTCATGTCCCTTGTACCTCTTAATAAGTTTTGTTTTATTTTTCTCAAACCCTGTCCTGCTATCCATTTGCTTAAGCCTATAAAGTATGTCACGCATTGCTTTGCCTGTTCCTATTTTCCTCTATCCGCCCTGTGAGTATCAGATTTTCCAAGCCCTCCTTATTACTTGTCCTAGAAATTTCAACTGCCTCTTCTTGATGTTAATCCTTCTTGTTATCCTTCTTGTTTCTATTCCCTCGAAACTCGTCCTGGCTCACATGTTCGGCCCATGGTATTCTCAGTATCCTTCTGTAGAACCACACTTCGAATCTCTTCTTCATCTTTGAGGAGATTGTCTAGCATCCGCTGTTATACAGGAGGACAGATATCATGTAATAGTTCAGTACTCTTTTCTTTATTTCTAACGAAATGTTTCTGTCTGAATACTCTACTTAGCTTTTGGTGACAATGCCAAATTGCTTCATTTATCTGCGTATCCTTTTTATTTCAATATTTAAATTATAATTTTCAGCTTCCAGAAGCCTCCCTAACTCATCTAGAGCGGTTCTTTGCTGTGAAATGAAAAATTCTGGGAGGACGGAATTATGAAGTTACTATAAAGACAGTTGAACAGAATGGTAAATAGTTTGTTCTGGAAACTTAATGTCGAAAATATTATTTTACTTAATAAACCAAAGGACTGTTTTACGTTATTCAATATTTGTATATAACTCTAATTCTCAACTAAA